CAAATACCTGTACTTTCTACTTCTTACATGTTGAACTCAAATACCTGTACTTTCTACTTCTTACATGTTGAACTCAAATACCTGTACTTTCTACTTCTTACATGTTGAACACAAATACCTGTACTTTCTACTTCTTACATGTTGAACTCAAATACCTGTACTTTCTACTTCTTACATGTTGAACTCAAATACCTGTACTTTCTACTTCTCTCATTTTCCAAACAGCTGGTTCCTTTAGTTTGAATGTGTGTTTGGTGGCGTGATCATTATTATTTAGAGTCTTCTACTTTCACCAGAGTATTTTTAAACACGAGTATCTGTACTTCTACTTGAGGAAAGGATGTGTGTACTTTTGCCATCTCTGGGAAAAGCTTGAATACAGGTACCTTGTATTTGTCTCTCCTCCAAGTGTGTGTATAATGAATCTGAATCTCTCTCAGCACCCTCAGGAAGCGTCCGATGACAGCAGACAGGGTTTGCATTCCAATGAGAGCTACATGAAGTCCGGCATGGTGAGCACGTCGATGTGAAGAAACTCAAAGACACTGAACCACAAAACAAACATGGAGGAGAACCCGTTTCCTGTCATTATCTGTCCTTCTCCCACAAATGCACTATATCAGCACTTGCTTCATTTCTGCCTTTCAAACACATTGTTGTCATTCACTCACATCCTGTTTTAACATTTTAAATATAATTACTTCAGTAGCAGTAGCACAACGGACTGTATGAAACTAATATGACATTACAACTGATTTCACTATTGCACTGTTTTAGCAGAAAACGTTTAATGTCGTGGTTCCCAAAACCAGTTTTATTCAGATTCTGTGATTTATTTTGTAAAATATTAAACATTTGTTATTTTTATTTGTGTTCTATCCAATACTTGACATGTTCACCTCTCTACTTTAAAGAGTCCTCTCCTGCTGATGTTCAGGTGCATATCAGTATGTAGTGTCTCTACTTTAAAGAGTCCTCTCCTGCTGATGTTCAGGTGTATATCAGTATGTAGTGTCTCTACTTTAAAGAGTCCTCTCCTGCTGATGTTCAGGTGTATATCAGTATGTAGTGTCTCTACTTTAAAGAGTCCTCTCCTGCTGATGTTCAGGTGTATATCAGTATGTAGTGTCTCTACTTTAAAGAGTCCTCTCATGCTGATGTTCATGTGTATATCAGTATGTAGTGTCTCTACTTTAAAGAGTCCTCTCCTGCTGATGTTCAGGTGTATATCAGTATGTAGTGTCTCTACTTTAAAGAGTCCTCTCCTGCTGATGTTCAGGTGTATATCAGTATGTAGTGTCTCTACTTTAAAGAGTCCTCTCCTGCTGATGTTCAGGTGTATATCAGTATGTAGTGTCTCTACTTTAAAGAGTCCTCTCCTGCTGATGTTCAGGTGCATATCAGTATGTAGTGTCTCTACTTTAAAGAGTCCTCTCCTGCTGATGTTCAGGTGTATATCAGTATGTAGTGTCTCTACTTTAAAGAGTCCTCTCCTGCTGATGTTCATGTGTATATCAGTATGTAGTGTCTCTACTTTAAAGAGTCCTCTCCCTGCTGATGTTCAGGTGTATATCAGTATGTAGTGTCTCTACTTTAAAGAGTCCTCTCCTGCTGATGTCCAGGTGTATATCAGTATGTAGTGTCTCTACTTTAAAGAGTCCTCTCCTGCTGATGTTCAGGTGTATATCAGTATGCAGTGTCTCTACTTTAAAGAGTCCTTCTGAAAAAAATAAGTGTAAGTTGTAAGCAGATATATCTAATTTTCAATGTTTACAACCCAAGAATGTCAGGAGTTCTACTTTGTTCATGTAGCATTTATTTTTTATTTATTCAACCCAGAGTATAAAACAGAGAATAATTGACTCACATTGTAAAACAAATCAAATCAGATTTAACACACAAACAATGTTTCTGCAGATGGAGTTTGGCTGCAGAGAAACGTGACATTATAACTTCAAAAAATACAGATTTGAAAGGAAAGCACCAGAAATAATGTGTCAGATGTTCGTAAAGGAATGTCAGCTGATCATATGCAGCCAATAAGAAATGAGCTTGGTGAAATCACAGCATATTTATCCACTTTCTGTCTTGGAGTGGAAATCAGCTTCTTTGAGGAGCTACAGTTCCCTGGTGCTTTTTATTTTACCGTCTGAAGGTGGGGGGGGGGGGCAAGGTGTGTGTGTTGATTTTTTTCATCCCTCCCACGGGGGGGAACGCCGTCCGTCCACATCCGTCTCCACGTGATACAACATGTCCGCCAGCGTGTGCTCCGTCACCGCGCCCCAGCCCATATCACTCATCTGAGGGAGGAGGAGACATGATTCATGAATGCAGAATAAAGATTATCTGTGAAATAAAAATGGTATTAAATGCCTTCAAATTGAACATATTGAGGGGGTTATTCAATAGAATCATTTTGTTTCGCGAACGTTGGCCGGGGGGGGGGTCGGTGTGGTATTGAACGTTGGCCGGGGGGGGTCGGTGTGGGTGTGGTATTGAATGTTGGCCGGGGGGGGGCGGTGTGGGTGTGGTATTGAACGTTGACGGGGGGGGGGGTCGGTGTGGTATTGAACGTTGGCGGGGTGGAGGTGGGCGCTAGTGGAGCACGCCGTTAACAGCAGCCCCGTCTGTGCGCACGGCGACCGGCTCGGTCGTCCAGTGATCGAAACGCCTTCTGGAAAAGCTTCACAAGTCCGCCGGTACGCAAATGCGCTTTGTGACACAGGTGACGGTACGCATTTCAGACACAGACAAATGGAATTCCGTTGTTTTATTTTACTGGAACATGTACATCAGGGGTAGGCAAGTAAGTTTGGCTGTGGGCCAATTTTTTGCTGAGCCGCAAGATGGCGGGCCAGAACATAATCAAAGCCTAATTCAAGGAATTGATTTTGGTAAGAGGGCGCAGCGCCCCTGTTCCCCGGTTCAGAACAAACTCTATCGCTGATAACCCTCCCCATCAACACTGATGCGCAGTCAGATCCGCTGATTGGTTCACTGATGATATAGGCGCCCAATCCAGAGCCTCTGGCTAGACCCGCCCAAAGGGAGGCTCGTCCTCTCTAGCCCCATTTCAGTCCCAAAGCCAGGGCTATTATCTGTATTTTAACAGATTTATCTTTTAAATTGAGGTGTATTTATTGTTCTCTTCAAAGTTTATTTTTCTCTGAAATGTTAGGGAGGATGGTCCTCCCTTTCCTCAATGGATGAGCCTCCACTGAGTAAAGTAGAGTTATTAACTAGGTAGCAGTGTTATTTAACATACTTTTATTCTGATAAGTATTGTCAAGTTCTCTGGGTTTTTGGCATTTATTTGAGTGTTTGCACATTTGAGAGGCTTGAGGGACAACTGGAATCCTTTTTAATTTTCTTTATTTCAACTTTTCAAAGACACATTAGGATTCTTTCAGGTTGAAAACCTTTAAAAAATACCAAAGGACAAAATAAATCAATTACAGCATTTTGCTTTGCAATTTCATATATTATAACCTAAATTAATCAGTAACCAAGTATTTTACTCAAACTCAATGTATTTAATAGTTAAATAAGTACTTTAATTGACCTGGTTCCCCCCAACCACACATTTGCCATCTGTGACCCGCTCTATCGAAATCAGTCGGAAGTCGCAACGGCTCATTTCAAAATAAACGTGGATTTGCGTAAAAAACTAGTTTTTCGGGGATCGGGTGTTTTGTTTGATTTTAAATAAACAAAGTCTTGGCTTTCAGAATATGACATTTTTATTTCCAAAATCACACGATAAATACATGTTTGAAGCTTGTAAAGGGAAGATGACAGCTCTCCCTCCACTCTGCTCTTCCACAGCGCCGCTTCCCCTCCCTCCGCTGACATTATGAATGTAAGCGGATATTTTGGGACAGAATTTATTTTACCGGACAAATTTGAAACTTACCGGTCATGTTTCAATAATAATAATAAGAGTTGTGTAGCAGAGTTTCCGTTAGCAGGTAATTACCGGACTATGAGCAGATATGCTTCAGTTTAAAACTCAGTTCACGGGGCTCATTTTTATATTGCTTCAGTCTATAATCGTAACAGATCAAAAAATTCAGATTCATTTTTCAATAAATTATTCCACCAACAACAAACAACATAATTATTACATTCAAACAAACTACTTGTAGTAGATAACGTACATTATTCAAAAGTTTACATTAACTTTGAATAATAACACGGGAGAAACGGATCATCTCTTTTCCTCCCTCCCTCCCTCTCTCCTGACAGCCCGTCAGTTTCTCATGCAGCTCCTGCAGCTCGCTAAACAGTGGGCGGGGCTTCAGGTCAGACTCAGCAGCTGATCTGATCTCTCTCTCGGGTCCGGTTATACTTCACTCGCGTTTATGTCCATATCGATCAGATCCAGCTCTCCTGATCGTTCTTTATAGAGAGCACCGATCAAACTATTAAGAGTGAATATCGGCCGATAATGACCGGCGGCCAATCTATCAGTGGCTTTTATGTTGTAAAAAAAAAATTAAAAAAAATCTCAAAATAATATTTTATTAGTGATTCTCAAAATTACGGGCCAAATATTATTGCTGGCGGGCCAACAATGGCCCGCGGGCCGCCTGTTGCCGACCCATGATGTACATGGTACAAGAGGGCACTCTACATGCACTCTGCACAACTGGTGGTGTGACCAATGGCCATTTACAATTATTAATACTATTACTATTATTAGCATTAGTCTATATTTTGGTTGAAACTAAGCCAGAAAAAAAAAGAAAAACATAAATAATAATAAAAAAATATATAAATAAAATCGATTATGGAGACAGTAACGAATATTCGAAAAATCGAATAATTGCTGGCATCGCTATTCTTAACCCTGTGTTCTAGTATGAGAAATAAAAGAACATTGTACCTTGAAAATCAATGCTTTCTAATAGCGGGTACATTTGACCCGTTGGCGGTTTTAGGTATACAGCGACCCCTGGTGGTTCAAGTGTTAAACTACCACAATACAAATAAACGTTATTAGTTTTAAATGAGAGATTTTAATTTCATGTGCGTTGCTAGTTTTAGTTTATTTTCTCTACTTAGTATGTGTACTTTGTTTTAAATACAGTTATTTTGATATACAGTAGAAACAATATTTGATCTACAATAATATTTAAATCATGTTTTGTTGTATTTAATCCAACATCGCCATCTACTGGAAAACAAAGCCTGTTACATTTCTAAAACTAAAGATTTGACGTTCATTTGTTTTTTTTAAACCAGGAAATATGAAGTTCTTACAGGATATTGTTTTAAAGTTAGTTTTACTGTATGACAATATTCTACAATGCTTTTTTTCAGTTTAAGTTTTAGAAACTCACCGGCTGGTACTTGAGGTCCTTCGGAGGGTGTTTGAAATTTGGCCCGAAGTTAACGGACACCTGAAGGGAGAGAAGGTAACGTTTAGCACTTTAAACAGATCGTAATGAAGCAGGAAGACTCGTGCAGAAAGTGTTCAATCTGATCTGCATGTACTGACCGTGCAGCTCTTGTAGAGTGAGATGGCCGGAAAGTACATGCCTTCAAACAGGTTCTCAAAGGCAACACCTTGACTCACTCCGTTTTTAAAGAACACCATCTGGAAAACAGGAAACACCGGTTAAACGAAACAGGTTTTTTAAGATTGTAATCATTATTCACAACA